TTAGATGTACACACGTATACGATTTGGATATTTTTTAACTAATATTGTTATTGTCTCAGTAGGAAGATGTAAATTCCGGGATTATCACAGGGAATTATGGGGGAAATTACCTTCATTTAACTGAAATTTTCTTTTTTTTTAAATATTATAAAGGACTCGTTTATCAAATGCTTTCTTAAAATCAATGGTTGTAGTGTGAAAATGCTTTTTTTTTATTCTCTTGGGACTAGAAAAGATAAGAGATGGGGTCAAGGCGGATACGCGGTTTCCATTAGCTTTTACTTCTGTACCATGTAGTTTCAATATGTTAATAAAATGAAGTATTTTCCACGTATCCTTGGGCATCTTGAATAATTTACATGACGTATCATGACACCAAACGTGATCATTGGCTTTCCGAGAAACACGCTCGGTCGTTAATAGCAACGCATACACTCTATTTTCACCGAGGCTACCCTTTAGAGGATTTTGATGTTAAGAAGTTCAATTACCAGCACAATGGATTTTATGACGACCATTTATTTCTAAGTCATAATAAATTAATACATGAATATGATAATTTTCAGATAAATGGACGAATGGGGACGAATGACAAAGAGTCGATCGGCCATTTATGTCTTAATCACTAAGAACCACAATGGCTTCTATAATGTTGCAATGAATGTACATGACAATTCATTTTATTTAAAATATTACTAGTTTATATCAACAGTTTGCAAATGATACACTGCGGAGCCCAGTCGACCAAATAAAGACATTTTTTTTCAATGATGGGAACCCCACTCAGTCGCTTTTAACATCCGTGTGTAAACATTCACATCACATGATTGATTGCTTATGCCACAATGAAATGTGTTCCAACAAACAGAGTTGTCATAGAAACAAGACTTGTCGTGTCGATATATTGTACAATGAGCATCACGTCGAAATAACCATCAGGTTTTGTTCCAAGAGTTTGTTGTAAATTTCATAGATAAGAGTCATAAATAAAAGAATGGTAGTCAGGTCATCTTGCGATTAATGTCTAATACACGTGATATTCACATATCAAGCCTTCTTGAAGAATCGCTTAGCTATTGCACCTCCCTTGGCAAGTGTCATCACCAATTCACCGTCCACGATTTCCCTGGTTATTGTTGCTCCCTCTGGGTCCTCGTGTGGATTCACAACCAAAGTGTCGCCCTCTAGTGACGCTATTGCCTTTCTAGTTCCTCCACTTGGGCTGCAGTCGTCAAATACTTCCCCCAGTTTGAATGTGCTCACATTCGTTTTGATGGCTGTGCTGATTTCGATTTTCCAGTTTCCTTGGTCGTCGTTGGTGATCTCGGTTACAGGCGACACTTTGCTCATCACCTTTCTCTGTATGGCTCCAACGTCTATGGCCATCAGGAATTCCTCGAAGTTTTCACTTCGGTCGAGTTTCCATTTGCCGACAAGTTGAGACATGTTGATATTTGATTACGAGTGAGTCAGGTCGTTGTAGATGTAGAGATGCTCCTGGTAGATGTAGAGAAATAAGCTTTCACGTATTGACAGAAACCACGATGGATGTGTTAATTAGCATATAGCGTCACGTGACTTATAATTATTCAGTAATTTACATATTAGATATACTCATTATGTCGCCCACTGCCTGCAGACAAATCATCACGCATGATAGAATTCTACACCGCAACCATTATGTTTTTGCCCGCAGAACTTGAAACTATCTATAATATTTAAATGTACAGTTCTGAATCACTTGAAGGGTGGTGGTTCGGTTTTGTTAAGTTAGTGGTTCCATTTTTAGGAATGATATAATGGCAGTCTCGTGAATTTGATTTGGCATGAATGTTATTTCACGAAATTCAGCGCCTTGCATATTTGTCTGTGGAAAATATTGATAACCACATTGGGCCACGCCATCCTTGCAATCACAACTACCTGTTAACATGTATTGAGGTCGTCCAGTATCAATATTTCCAATTATTTTACATGGATATATAATAAAGTAATTCAAGTTAGTTAATTAATCAACGTGTGTCTGAGCGAACATGTCTCATGGTATTTAGCGACCATAGACGTAAGCAACCTAAGTATTCGCATTTAGGAAAAGTGGCAAGGTAATCATGGTGTATTACATTTGATATTAACTGAAATGTACGTTAAAAGCACGGCTATTTTTTTACTTGTAAAGTGCCAATTATTAGTAAATAATATAAATACTGGCGGCTAAAAATTTTGAGGCCAAAATGTCTGGGATGGTGTCGGATCAGCCTTGATGAAAAAAAGGAAACACAGTCCTTTTATATGGATGTTCATGGCTTGAAATAAGACAGTGTGCCATTATTATTGCATGCCTTAGCCACTATTTCCACTGTGCTATTATTACCTGTACCATTTTAACCGCACGCCAATTATTTTGGTCAGCATGCAATCAACGGTTTATCTAATGTCGCCATTTACTACTTGTATAAGCACGCCAAATTGTGTCCTATATGCGCAATGACGGAAAAAATACATTATATAAATTATATGAATACAAAAATGTTCTGTATAAATATAAAAATAAAATTTCATCTATTTTATGTTTCTGTTTATGTTTCTTATATTGTCAATGCACACCTTAATAGTTTATCCATAATTGACACGAGCTCAGAGGTCAGTTCAAATCTCATCCAGACACTTAAAATACATGTGTGTATGTTGATTCATTAACAGCGATACGAGTTGAAAGACCCAAATAACCCCCAGACATACAGTCGATTCTTGAATATAACAATGCCTTACAATTTCAATTAGCATCACAATAGCCTACGAACTCTCACCACATAGGTGAGGAGCATTAGCATCACAATAGACTACGAACTCTCACCACATCACTGTGAGTGACACGAAACGACGAAAGAGTTATACAGTTGGCACTCAAATATTGATATTACAAAGTCTGTATTTCTAGTTTGAATGACAAAACGTCAGTGCACTTTTATTTTTCGCACCGCGAAGTTTAATAGTGATTTATCCATCATGGGCGATAAAATATGCATATATTTTACAGTTTGACTTTGGGATGTATAATAATAATTCAAAATATGCACGATGCTGCTGTCCAATTAGATCAATCACCAACATACGAGCTAAATTATGAAAAAATTGTGAAAGCTACGATAATCTTATAGAATTTTGTTTATACATTATGGTCAAAGCTAGCAGTTTGGTTATGCCTTCGGCAGCTATTAATACAAATTTGAGATTAGTCCGCACACAGTCCCTCTATCATTTAGAGGGACTGTGGTCCGCACTAATATTTTAAAAGCGAGTAAAACTCGTTTTTTTTTTCAGTCGGAACACTGTCACTGTCACAGTACCCGCACACGCCACGACTGCAAATGATTTAGTGGTTGCTTGCAAATGTGTTTTCCTAACCATGGAAGGTTAGTACCTTCCATGCCCTAACCATACTTAGACCTGATATTGAGAACACAAATAGTATTACGGTAATAATATCAGATATACAACTCCAAAGTAATTTATAAATCACTGTCTATATCCTTTAAATTTATACACAATTGTCCACCTTTCTCGACAACAACATCGTTTCAGCCATGTTTTGTATAACACGTGATAAATCTGCACGAATACGATAATTGGCGCACACTACATACAGCGACTAATCGGTGACAAGACGTAAAGATTCAACATATTGAAATGTTTCGACTCGGTCGGCGACAACAAATTCCCATTTATGAACTTCCAAACACCTTCTGATCCGACTGTGCAATCCAGTCATAGTCGATCGGACCGTGATGTGCGCGGCCGGCATGAAATACTCTTACTCGTAATAGGTTTCTGTTTACCTACATGGTGCTACAGCCAATTTATTTTGAACATACTTATTGTCAAGGCACGAATCACAATGACGGCAAGGTAAAACCTCATTTTTAATTCACTATACAAAGAATAACAAAGACAATAATAAAAGACATGGTGATACAGTACAAACTGACCTTATCGAGAGATTATCGAAAGTATGCAACAAAAATACACTTATTTTAAATAAACGTTTTGTGGTATATTTTAACTGGTTAAAAATAGAAAGGTGTTGTTTTTCAAACGCCGTACGTTTACTTTAAACCATCACTACACATCCATTCATTCAGTGTGCGCACGAAAATACTACCTTAGATAATGGCTCTAAATATACTGTTTCTCACAGCGTTTTCTAACTGTACTACTAACAGCCCCTTTGTCATACAGGGACTGCTGTACTCGTATCGATCATAGACGACGAGAGTTCATCCTACTGTCAGTACTATAGTCATGCTAGAAGACAATACAGAGGTAGGAATTGAGAAAAAAAATGTTGACCCTGTGTGTTCCGTCGGCCACGGCTGTCAACGCACGTTTATTCCACCTTTTTGAAGTACCTCTTGGCTATTACATCGCCCAGCTGCATGCACATGACAAGTTCACCGTCCACGACTTCTCGGGTTATAATCGGACTTTCTTCTGGCTTTTCAACCGATTGGATAATTAGTTTATCCCCTTCCAGCGAAGCTATCATTAACTTTTGTTCTTGCCTTCGAAGTCTGACCCCTCAAACTGCTCACCAATTTTAAACTTCGTCTCTTTCGTCATGACTGGAGTAATCATCTTGACTGACCATCCACTGTCGTCTTCACTAATGTTTTGGGTTGGCGATACCTTGGTCATCACTTTTCTTTGCATCCACCCAACTCCATGAGCCGCCAGGAATTCGTCAAATTTCTCACTACGATCGTGCTTCCATTTACCCACTATCTTCGACATGTTGGCGATTGAAATTGAATGAGTCATGTGAATAAGGTAGTTGTTGGTAATAAACTGTGACCTCAAATTTACATATATCACGTGACAGTGTACACAAGGGCCGTTACAAATGCGTGGAATAAAAAGGAGCCACCAACGACAGAAGCTAGACAGACTGTAAAGCACATACTAGTATACGCCAGTAAGTGTATTAGACGAGGACTACACATACAACACTTAATGTGACAAAAATATTCGAATACTCGCGAAGTTTAGTTTCATACTGAAAACCAAATTTGCAATATTCACAAATTAAATCAAATATCAAATTTAAACTTCGTCGCTTTCGTCATAATTGGAGTAATCACCATTCAACACTTAATGCGACAAAAATATCAAAATACTTGCAAATATTAATTTTATACTGAAAACCAAATGTTACCGTATATATTTACAAATTAGCAAATAGGAAAAAAGGAAAAATCATAATGACTGTTTAAGTTTGTTCACGTTATTGCCCACGTGGTTATTGTCCCAGTCTTAATCATGTTCAGAGTAAACATACTGTTAAAATAGGGCCATTAATTCTTAACTGTGGAGTAGGGGAGTTTATAAAAACAAAGTACAGACTAAAAACAGGTGTAGAATATCTATAAACATATATTCCGCTAATCTCACTGTG